CCGCCGGACCAGCTGTGCAAAGTGACTGCCACTAGATGGAGCGGCTTTTACAAACACACGGCTTCGCTGCCTGCAGACACCTGGATTTAGCTTCCTCTAGCGCTTTTTTCCCAGCCTGCTTTACTGGGGTTCAAACATATGAGGTGTTAAACATCAGCTGAAGGCTGAAGACATAACTTCGTAAGGCTTCACCCTCAAAGCGGAAGAATTAGTGAAGAGTTGAGGGGGCAAGTCTTACTGCTGCCCTCCACCGTGTGGCTACCCATAGCCTTAAAAGAAGTTTGGATGCTATCAGAATATAAAGACCCCTTAGGTAAAATATATAATAAGTAAAAGGCTGGTAACTCATCTTGGACAACAGGGAGAAATCCTCCCCTGGACTTCTCATTGGTCCACAGGACCAGTTCCCTTGGGGAACAAGAACATGACTTCATTAAAATGCTATTACCTATCTTCTCCTGCTGTTCTGGTGGAGATGGAGGGCTGGAAAGTTTTTATCGTTGCCAAAAAAAAGGGCTGAATTTATTATCATTTTCAAGCCAGGATGATTGATAGAGCAATTTTAATAGCCTGAATAGAAACAGTGAATATTTGCGTTCTTCCTCGGAAAGTAATTATGAGCAATACAATGATGCTACTGATAACTGCAAAAATGTTGATGTGGCAAGGAAAGGAATCAAAACAAGAAAGGGAAATCCACAATCAAACCTTTTTAGCTTCTATTTTAGAAAATATTTTGATCTCCATGTCTATACATTTCTTCTATGATACCCACAGCTAATAAAGAACAGGCTAAAGGACAAGTAGGTATAATTGAAACATAGTTTTTGAATGCACAAAAATATGTAAATGCATTCTCCTTGCTTACACGTTGTAAGGCTTGTAAGACCTTTGCAGGCCTTTATCTTTCAATAAGGTTGCACAGTGCCCAGTACGCTGGGACTCCTATCAAACTGGGTCTACCACAGGAGAAGCAGCAGTAATTTATACTCGTGTGTAGTCAGCTGAAAAAGTGTGAGAGAAATGAGATCTACCATAGTAACTGTTGGCCTCCAGGAATTAGAACTGTCCTATAAAATGAAAATTTATATGGCTAATAATTACCTTACCCCATATGGCGATGAACAATACCGCTTCGAGGACAGCACAAGGTTTCTAAGCCTTGGAGAAAGAAATGCGCAGACTGAGAAATGGCACTCTAAGACTCAGTAACACCGAGCAAGAAAAAAAAACATGTTGATGAGAATGTGAAAGCAATGTTATCCCTATCCTATTTACTCTTTTACTACTCCATCTCCAACACTGTGCTACTCCTAGGCTATAAATGGCAGATACACTGTCACTCCTAATTCGGGAAAACTTGCGTTCAGTTCAGTGAATTTTCTCTGTCTGAGGGATGGGGAAGGAGCGCAGACACCAGGAGAGGAGCGAATGAGGGATGCTCTCTCCTAGTTACAGTAAGGCACTATCAGCTATGGGGAAACCTGGAGCATGCACGTACTGAACCAAATTTTATTCTTATCTAACGTGATGATATCTTTGGCAAGTTGAACCTTAATTAGCAAGAAACCAGGGCTACATGGTTATTTATGTCCATTAACATACCGTTTGCACACTAGTGGGATAGGGGCTGGATTGTTCTAATTTGGGGGCAAACTGCCCCTACGTGACACCACCCAGCATCCAGCAGCTGACAATCTGAACAACAAAAACAAAACAGTAGGGAAAACAGAGCGTTAATCAGCGACCGACAATGTTTTCAAAAGATATAACATTATTTCTTCCCTCCAAAGTCTTGTTGGTGAGATGTGTGTACCAGTTTTAGCACAGGTGACTTGCAGGCACAGAGAAAAAGAGGCTGTGTCTAATTTTTCAAACAGCCAGGGCATACATGTGTGTCTAAGATCAGAGAGGTTCAAAAGCGAGGTTGAAGTCCTGCTCCGTTTGGTGCAGGTGAGGGTGCTGATGTTCTGCTGCCCGTCTCCAAAACTGCTCGCGTTGTTCCACACTGGATCAAGAGTTAAACATCAGGAAATAAA